TTCCCTACTACTTGAATTTCCTAGAAGCAAGAATGTCTCTTGCGCTACTCTAGGTACAGTACTATATTGTGCCAAAGGAGGATTTGTGACTTAATTCCCACGAGGAACTTGACAGGTTTGTTCTTGGTCCTCCTGGGCGGGACTGATGTGGACAGCAAAGTTCCTTTCAAGTCATGTGCAACCTACATGGTTGGCTCCGAATTTCTGGGGACTCCTCCAACATTTGAAGTGAAAGACACGCTCCAAAAAGTATAGACAGGGATGTGATCAGCCAGATACGGCATAATTACGGCTCTTGGGGATTGTCTCTTGGTTTCCTTATTGAGGAGAGGAGGTTCTTCCTCCTCGTCCTCCTTCTCTTTCTCCTCTTCCTCCTCCTTGTCCTCTCCTCTTTCTCCTCCTCCTCCACCACTATCATCTTCCTTCTCCTCCTTCCCTCTTCCCCCCCTCTTCCCCGTCTGAAGGGCACCCTTCAACTTTCCAGTCCTCTGGGAATTCTGGGGCCCGATTCACCAATCCGGAGCTCAGTTGGGGAAGCTGGTTTAGATACCAGGGAGCTCTTTTCCAGGCTGACTCTGACAAGCCGGGTTCAGGTGGCCTAAGGGAGTCTTGGCGGACACGTCCGGCTGTCCCTTGGTTCCTTAGGGGAAAGAGACGAGGGAGCCCCAAGACAAGGGCCCCAGAAAGGCAAGAGAGCTGGCTTACTTGGACTCTTCTCTTCGGCAAGGTCGCACGTGCACAGGAGCTCCGAGTCAATGGAGATCGGCTTCTGCTTAATCCAGAACTTGGTGCTGGCTTTCTGATTGGTCACAGGATCTACCTCCACCTTGTCGCCTGAAATACCTGAAGACCCAGAGAAGGTCAGTCAAGGGAGGAAGGGACATTTCACACTGAGAGAGATGTTAATAACTACCCGCATTATATGTGTATTTATGTTGGGGGGAGGAGGAGGAGGAGGAGGAGAAAGAGGAGGAGGAGAAGAGGAGGAGGAAGGGAGAGAAGAAGCAGAAGAAGATAAGAGGAGGAGGAAGAAGAATAGGCAGAGGACAAGGAAGAGGAAGAACAGGAGGAGGAGGAGAAAGAGAAAGGGGAGGAGATAAAAGGAGGAGGGGGAGGAGGAAAGAAGAGGAGGAGGAAGAGCGAGTGGCAAAGAGGACATGAAAAGAAGAACAGGAGGAAGAGGGAGGAGGAGGAGGAAGAAGAGAAGAAAGAGGAGAAGGGACAAGAGGAAAAAGAAAAGAAAGAAGGAAAAAAGAGGAAGAATAGGTGGCGAAGAGGACAAGGAAGAGGGAGGAGAAACAGAAACAAGAGGAAGAAGAAGAGATGGATAAGGAGGATGAGCAAGAGGAATTAGAAGAAGAGGGAAGAGGAAGAAGAAAGAAGACTTAAACCATCGTTCTACTATTCCAACCTGCCCAAACACCAACCTGAGAAGTTAATTTACTTCCCAAGAGGCTGTGTAATTTATTACAGATCCTATTATGGTTGGGCCCCCCCCCCCCCCTCCCTTCCAACACAACCCTCTTCTCCACAGCAACAACCTTGCTAAGGTGCGGAGCTGCAACCAAGCAGGCGTCTCATTGCTTAAGTTACAATTACAAGGTTTCTCCGTTGACATGAGTGACCAGACCTCACCCTCGCTACACTTTTTCATCATGGCAGCTGTGAGGGGAAAGACTTAAAAGTAATTACATTTTTTAGGTCATGAGTTACAGGTCAAGGTTAGCCTCGAAATAGGCCAAAGGAATCAAGAGTATTTAAAAAGCAGCACGAAGGGTGAGTGAGGGTGGGGGGCAATTCCTTTGTTTAGACTCAAAATGTTGCCGGAGCTCTTTCCGCACCCGATTTTTTCCCCCCCTCTTCTTCTTCTTTTTTGGTCGTTTGTATTTCTCTAGAAGGAAAATAATAATAATAAAGGTCCTGGATGGGCAAAAAACAGAAGTCAGAAATGGCTAAGGAGCCCCTCTTTATTTCCAGTCCATTTTGCCAAATTGATTGCAACCCCCCCAAAAAAACATTGTGGAGAAAACAAGGTTTCGCATCCAACACGTCCAGGGGTGGGATTCCATCGGTATAGCAACCGGTTCGCTCAAACCGGTGGAAACCGGTCGAATCCCACCCCTGAACACGTCTAATTCCTCGCAGAAATTCTCCCCTTCTCTTTGTCTCAATCCAAAGCTTTGTGGCTAAAAGGAAGTCTGAGGAAGGCCAAGAAAGGTCCTGCTGCTTTTTATTTAAAATTGGAAGTGGATGTTGTGAGGATTAGAAGCTTGTCTGAAGAAAGTTGACTCGTTCGTTAGTAAAATGTGTGTTTTATCGCTCATTTTCATCAGCCTTTTGGGCAGCCAAAGAGAAGGCGATCGAACAGATAAATGAAGGTTTCAATAAAACAGCTGCAGGGGTGACATCCATCCGATTGTCCACACCCAGCAAAAAAGATCAGAAACAGCAGCAAATCTTATTTAAAGCCACTCCTAGAAGCCTGAAATGAAACTGGAGTTGCTTCCTGATGCAAGTGAGAAAAATTTTGGAGGGACCACGCCACATTTTAGAAGACAATGCTGTAATTTTCTCTCTCTCTCTCTCTCTAAATAGCCAAGAGCTATGTCACATAGCCCATAAGGGTGAGAGAAACGCATTTTGAACCTAAGAATAGAACCATCAAACCACGTATTAACTTACTATCAAGACACTGGAGAATAACTCTCTAAAGAACAGGAAACATCTGCAAGAAACAAACCAAGCTAAGGACCCCGCAAGTTCTCCTCTTCCTTTCTGCAAACCCCTCTTGCTTCTAACGCTGAGAAGGTCTGAGAGATCTAAGGACCTCACAGTTGTCCTCCTCCCCCTCTTCTCTGCAAACCTCTCTTGCTTCTAACATCGATGAGGTCACCTAGGTGAGTAATGAAAGGTCTGCAAGAAATCAGCCAAGCTCAGAGAGCACTAAGGACCTCACAGTTGTCCTCCTCTTCCTCCTCCCCCCTGCAAACCCCTCTTCCTTATAACGCTGATGAGATCACTTAGTTGGGTAACCAAACATCTGCAAGAAAACAACCAAGGACCCCTGCGCTGCAAGTGTTCTTCTTTTCGACTGCATCTCTTGTTTGTTGGAGGATCCAAGCGCTGGGCTGACACTGGAGGGAAGGAGGGGAACCTTACACCCGTGTTGTGTTAACTTTAGCTCCTGCAGGTGCCAAGTGTAGCGTAACTCTCATTTGGAAGCTGACCACTCCGGGAGTCTGTCATAGACTCCGGCCACTAGAGAAGCACATTTCAATTAATCAAGCCGCACAATTTGTCACTGGGGCCTACCCCTCCCTCACCAAGGACCGTCTTCCAATTACCCTTCACGTCAAGAATCCCAAAGCATGCCAGGGGTGTGAAAACAGCACCGGATCCTTCATTAGGAAAAGGGACTCTTTCATCGCAAATTTTCACTCCACGAGGGCTCAAAATCCATCTCTCTTCCCTTGCAAAAATAGGGCCAGCAGCTGGTGTTCGCTCCTCAAATGGTTTGCTTGTTTTTAAATCCACAAGCAGCCCCAAAATAAGGCTGATTAAAAAACAACAACCCAAAACAACTGAAGACACCCTTTATCATGCTAATCAACCAGATCTTCCCTCCCTTCGATAGATTACAATAAACAAGCACAAATAAATGGCGGCTGGATTTTGTTCTTTTCTTTCGATCTTAAAAGAGAGAGGGAGAGAGAGAGAGAGAGAGAGAGAGAGAGAGAGAGAGACCACATTTCATTTCATTTCCAGTTTCCTTCTCGAATGTGTGCCGCGGCGGAGTCAACCCTGTTAATGCGCCCGTGTTAATTTGATCGGGTTTGTCAGGTAGCTCCAGTGGAAAATTATATAAAACTGTTCCAGATGAACAGATGATAGTGACATGAATTAAAGTGATAGAACAATAGTAGAATATAAACCAGAAATGACACCCAAAGTGGCTGTTGATTTATTGCCATCCAGAGTGTGGTTCTGGGCTTCCATGTATATTAGCCGTAGAAATCGGGGCCCATTTAGCCGGGAGATGCTCATACATACATCACCAACTGCTACTCCATGCCAAGGTCACTTCTCGTGGCATCAATCTTTTGCTACGGAGGCTCCTTGGCTCACCAGTGTGTGTGTGTGTGTGTGTGTGTACGCACACACAAAAGGAGGCCGAGGCTGGCCGGGTGGGGAAACCATCTTGGTGGGAGACCGTCGGCCCCTTCCTCCCATCCCGCCTCGCCTTTATCGCCTGGAAAAACACTTGAAACTTTCTATTATTTTTATTGGCAAACGGTGGAGGGTGAGCTGCTCCCATCTATTACAGCGCCTATCAGCCCATCGCGGGCGCACCAGTTTTGGCCCGATGGTGCGTCCTTTGTGAGGTGGGCTGCCTATTCTCTCCCCCCCCACAAATGTTTGCTGCCTGCTGTTGCAAACACACAGTTGGAACAATACTTTACGATGTTTGCAGGCCGAGTCTGAGCTGACATGCTATACTTAAGTTCCGGGATTGTCGGGAGCAAGCAATCGAACCTGCATGTGTAGGGCTCAAGCTAACTACTTTATTGCTTTCTGCCTGTAATGCAGGAATCTTCCTAGATTGCTTGCCTTCCTTTGGGAGCAGATTGATAAGGTTCTGCGAAGATTGGGGGGTGGGGGGGGGGAAAGTCCTGGGTCTCTTATGACTGCGCAAGGATTCAAGGCTAATTCCCTGCTTGATTCCTCCTCCCTGCTTAGCTGGGTGCTTTCCAACAAGTATTCTTTTGCTGGTTTAAGAGGAATGATGGTTTCCGGCCTGAACAATCAGACCCACATGCGTAGAGTTCACACTAACCCCTTTAATGTTGTGGACTCCTTGGTGCTCCCTGAACTTGGTTGTTTTAGTGTGGACGTTTCCTCACCCACTTGGTTAGCCAGTGCTAACCAAGCTCAGAAAACACCAAGGACACCACAGTTCAGCCCTGAGCTTCAAATATCCCATTGCTACTTTATTGCTTTCTGCTTGCTATACAGGGATTTCCCCAAATGGCAGCTTTTACCTGGGAAAAGCCAAGATAAGGTGATAAGCATTTCTGGGTTTTGTGTGTGTGTGTGTGTTTCATATGTAGCCTTCTTGTGTTTATGTAATCCAGGCTGATTTCTTGCTTAAGCTCTCCCCTCAGCTGGGAAGTGGTTGCACTCCCAACAGAGGGTTTTACCTTCTCCGGCTCACTGCTATTTTCTACCTGGGCCTGCCTTCCCTTCTTCCAGACCCCCACAACGTCTCCAGGGTCAGGACCAAGGCGTCCTGGTGGCTCAGTGGTTAGAATAGCAGCATTGAAGGCTCCACAGCCTGGAGTTCCGATCCTGACCGGCTTTCCATTCCTTGACTCGGCCTTCCATCCTTCCGAGGTCGGTCAAATGAGGACCCAGATTGCTTGGGTGGGTGGGTGGCAATATGAGGACACTGTAAAACACCCAGAGTGTGCTGCAAAGCATTACATCCTGTGGTATATAAGTCTCTTAAGTGCTAACCCTTTAAAAAACAAAACTTTGTATGAGGGGGTGATAAAATTAACATAAATACAATTTTTACAGAGAGACAGATCTCACGGAGAAGGATAAAACGTGGAATAGCTCTTGCACAAATCCAGCTGGATTGTTTCCTCACTTCAGTACAAGCGAAAGCTATTTGTTTCTAGACAGAAAGACTTGCTGGGTTAAGCATTTGTCTTTGGTGATCTGTCATGACCTTTTCAAGCTCTTATTTCTTGACAGATTCCAGATACAAATGAGTCAAACTTCCCTGGAAGGAAACTACCACCCCAAGATGGTTTGCTCAAGAGCAGAAAACACGGCCGAAAGCTGCCCTCCATCAACTCCAGTGTATAAATCCTTCCTTAACAAGACAATAAAAGGAGGGGGGGGGGGGGAAGAAGGGAAGGGATGAGGAAGGGAAAGGAAAGGGAAAGGAAGGAAGAGAGAAGAAAGGAAAATAAAAGACAGAGGAAGAAGAAGAAGAGAGTCAAAGAAAGGAAAAAACGAGAAAAAGGAAAGGAAAAGAGAAGGGGGGGAAGGAAAAGAGAGAGAAGGAAAAGGAGGGAGAAAGGAAAGGAAGACAAGATGAAAACTTGCACCAAAGGAAAATAAACAACATTGGACAACAAAACTAAAAAAAGGAAAACAGAAATCCTCTTTGTGGCTTTAACTTTTCAGGAAATAAGTATCACATTTGTGTCTCTTACACACACACAGAAAGACAGACAGACAGACAAACTGACACAGAATCTCCATAGATGACAGGGCCACAGTTTATACTTCCTTTCCTCCTCCTCCTCCTCCTCCTCCTGTGCTTGTGTGTTCAAACAGCTGCCTCCAACGCACAATCTCAGCACAAGATGGGGGCTGCTGGCAAACTCTATGCTTTCCCAAGACAAGAAACCTCTTTGCTGAAACGGACATGAAGCTGGGAAAGGAGCAGCAGGAACATTTTTTGTCTGGAGCGGGACGCCCTGCCGACGTGGTTGGGGTCCCGGGTGGGGGGGTGGGGGGGAGTGATGGAGTTTACACGTTTTCTGTTTTATTTTTCTCCTGCTCCAATCGTGTTCGATTCTCGGAGACTCCCTGCGGTTTTCTTGGCGAGGTTCCCCCCCCCCCCAGAAGTGGTCTGCCATTGCTACCATCCTGGGGCTGAGAGAGAGTGGCTGGCCCGAGGTTGTCCCCCCACACCCTACCCTGCCAGCTTTGTGCTCAAGGCAGGACTAGAACTCACGGCCTCCCGGTTTCTAGCCTGATGCCTTAACCGTGATAGCCCCAGAATATTTTTTTTTAAATTACAGCGTCTTATCGTTTGCCCTCTTTTGACCACGTCTGGTGAGGAGCCAAGGTCCCAAATCTCAAGGAGTTTGCCAATCCCCAGATTAGGTCGCCGACGGATGCCGGGCAGAGCCGGAGAGGCTTCAAAAGGGCCCGTGGGGGGAAAGGCCCGTCCGACACATAACAACCGATTTACCTAACTGGACGTCCGTGGTGAAGCGGAGCCTGTGGATCAGGCTGACTTTGAAAGACTTATAGTGATGGCTGCTCAGCATGTCTTGGACGGTCGCGATATCGATCTGGGGATCTTCTTCCGAGATCTCCTCCCCTCTCGAGCCTCCGCCAAAAGAGAGAGAGAGAGAGAGAGAAAGAGAGAAAGTATGGTTGCCGCTGAGAGACACGGGAAGGCCAAGGGTGACAATAGCCATAGGACTTATATACCCCTTTGCAGTACTTTTACAGCCCCCTCTAAACGTTTTACAGAGCCAGCCTCTTGTCCCCCAACAGTCTGAGTCCTCGTTTTACCCACCTCGGAAGGACGGATGAGTCTACCTTGAGCTGGACAGGATTGAACTGCTGACAGTGGGCAGAATAAACCTGCAATGCTGCATTCCAACCACTGTGACCCCCATGGCCCTTCCTTCCTTCCTTCCTTCCTTCCTTCCTTCCTTCCTTCCTTCCTTCCTTCCTTCCTTCCTTTCTCTCTCTCTCTCTCTCTTTCCCTCCTTCTTTCCTTGACCCTTCCTTCCTTCTCCTTCTCTCTCTTTCCCTCTTTCTTTCTGTTTCTCCTTCCTTCCTTCCTTCCTTCCTTCCTTCCTTCCTTCCTTCCTTCCTTCCTTCCTTCCTTCCTTCCTTCCTTTCTTCCTTCCTTCCCAGCTAGCAATAGCCCTTAGACTTATATACCACTTTATAGTGCTTTCCAGCCCTCTCTAGGCGGTTTACAGAGTCAGCCTCTTGCCTCCAACAATCTGGGTCCTCATTTTACCCACCTCGTAAGGATGGATAGATGAGTCAACCTTGAACCAGTCAGCATCGAACTGCTGACAGTGGATAGAATTAGCCTGAAATACTGCATTCCAGCCACTGTGACCCTACGGCCCTTCCTTCCTTCTTTCCTTCCTCCCTCCCTCCCTGGGGGAGAAAGTACTCGCAGGGCACGTGCCATCTGTTCAACAGATCTGGAACTAGATCTTGCCTGACGGGCAGCCGCCTATCAAATTGTCTCCACGTGCCAAACACAAAGCAAGCCCTTCTGTCATTAAGTCGGCCGCTTCCTCCGCCATAAACCGAGGAAGGAATTAGATTAGCTGGGGGATTTAAGATGGCCACATTGTCACACAGAGTTCTGCCTTCTGATATCTTTGTTTGGTTGTCTTTTTCCCACTTTGCCTTGACAGAATCTTGCCTTCCTTAATGGAAGGATGGATTCTTGAACACACAACGACTTATTTTAGTTGCCCTGGCTGGCCTCAGGTATTAAGGGTCGGATTAAAAAGAAACCAAAAAAGCAGCTTTAGTTCCATGTTTATTTCGTTTTCTGCTCGTGTCAATGGGCCAGGTGAGAAGGACGGCAGCTATTCGGGTTACTGAATGAGGCAGCCACCGCTGTTCTCCAGCTGTTTTATCCTGTCCTTCTGAACCAAGTCCGCCTGTTGTCGGCTCGGAGAAATTGGGAACGGGGAGGAAGAGGAACGGGTAAAGTAGGCTTGGAAGAGCAACAAATCGCTCCCAACGGGAACACACGCGCCGAAGGCAAAGCTCAATTGGTACGTGGAGACGAAGGCAGATGGCCCAGTCATTACAATTTCACACCCCAATGCTATGCCGTGTGAAATCCGGCAGGACTTATGAATCTGTAAAATAAATCAGGTTTGCCTGACTTCCTCAAGGCCTCGGAAGGGACCGGATAACTGGATAACTCTTCCCGTTGAGCTGGTGAAGGCCGGTTTGGCCTACATAGAAATAAGAATAACTTGGGTCTTGTCACAGCCATTTTGGTCTGGGGATAGTTGTTGTGTCTGACTCTTCACGACTTTATGGACTATAGGCCCACCCCCATGTTCTTCACTATCTCCCAGACTTTGTCCAAATCCATTTTCGTTGCGTTGATGACCCTATCTAACCATCCCCTCCTCTGCCGTCCCCTTCTTGCCTTCCATCTTTTCCAACATCAGGGTCTTCTCCAAGGAGATTTCTCTTCTCATTAGGTGGCCAAAGTATTTGAGCTTCAGCTTCCAGATTTGTCTTTCCGAAGAACGCTCGGGGTTGATTTCCTTCAGGATTGACCGATTGGATCTCCTTGCAGTCCAATGGACATTCGAGAGTCTACTGCCAAGGGTAAACATCTCTAGGCAAGGTTTCGCTTGACATTTGACGTCCAGTCCAACCTTGAAGCTTCTGGGATTGTTGAAGGTGCTTAACAAGTCAATACCAGAACTAAACTGGGACTAGATGGGCGGGTGCCACATTTCCAGATGGACATTGGCAAGCTGGAAGAAGTTCAGAAGACAGCAGTGAAGGAACTTGAAGATCGGGCCTATGAGGATGGGCTGAAGAAACTTGGGATGTCCCAAGCAGATTTCATGAGTGGCCATGTTTGTAAAAAATATGTAAGTGTCAGGTGTGAAGAATCAGGACTATAGGTTGAATACCAGTCAAGCTGATTTATTGCTCATACACAAGAATCTAGTCAACTGGTAAATCGGCGCTTAGATAAGAGTCAACGGAATTGAAGAAGGGTTGGGTTTAGACCATTTGTGGGAATGTAAGGATACAAGGCTAATGTCTTTCTTGATTCCGCCTCCAGGCTTTGATAATCAGGAAGAATGAAACAAGAGGCTAGGAAAAGGCACTCACTGGTAAAACACCCAATTATTCCATTTCAGTGGAATAATTTCAAGGGCCAAAGAGGAGGGAAATTTTCAGAGTGAAGAATGAGTTTGGATTCTCGGACGACATCCGAGATTAAGCTGGAAAATTCTCCGCGGCAACATGGCCAGACATTTCAGGAGCACTTCAGATCATTCCTTAACATAAAATATGAAGCGCCTCAAGGCCAACTCTTAAGAAATCAAGACAGAGGTAATGCAAATTCCAAATGAAAGAAATGTAATGCTTAGAAGCAAACAATTTTTGAAGGGGGTTGCTTAGTTCATAATGTCTTCCATGGACCAACAATTGAGCAGAGTCCTTTCCCACCCAATCAATGCTTGTTTTCTCAGCCCTTTTTCAGTTTCAATAAGCTAACTTAGATAAGCAGGTTGGGGGGGAGAAACCTGTATAGAGTTGTTACTCTCAAATATTTTATATTATAAAATATATAAAATATATAATACTTTATATATATATAAAGCCATTGACGTTATTCCACTGCCTATAAAAATAGCAAAACAATCCACCGAGGGGAGGGAAAAAAAACATCCCATAATGCCATCCCGACGACAACAAGAACAATAAAGTAATAATATTACCCTACAGTTTGAGACAGGAGGTTTCTTATTAGGTTTATAGCAGACCCCCTCCTTCTTCAACGAGACAGAACGGCTCTGCAAATGGCAAGCGGTTTTCCTTCTAAGGAGAGAGATTCTGGGACGAGCTGTCTGTTTTAGGAGTTTGCACGTTTGCAGGTTTAGAAAAAAATAAAAGCTAATTAGCTTCTTGGGAGTAGTTACAAGAATGTGTTAGGGAGAACTAGAGAGCAGCGAAGAAAAGGTGGGATTTCTCAGAGGTAATATGGCTTTCAGAGGCAGCCCGATCTTGCGCTAGGAAGGTGGCCACCTTGGATTCAAACCCTTAGTTAAGAACGAGGACTTCGGGCCTGTTGATACAGCCCAGTGTTTCCTACTTGGACTTCCAGACGGGTGGATTTTTAACACCCCCCCCCCAAAGATTCTCCACCAAGGTGAGAGCTGTGAGATTCTGGGCACTGAATCCCAACTATCTGGAAGTTGCCAGAGTTCGTTGGGTTAACAGCAGCCCGAACCGCTTCAGCAGTGAGAATAAAATGGAAGTCCATTCCACCTCCGATCCTAACAGGGTTGATATGTCTTCTCGGAGAGATCTTAGGAGATCCAAAAGTAAGAGTAGGAAATCAGGGCCATTTTTATTTTTTATTTTACCCATGCTTTTGGGTAACGTGAATGAATGCAAAAGGGATTTGGAGGACGCCGTTCCTTGTTGTCTACCGGAGGTTTTCTTCAAATGAGTATGTCCACAGACCAAATGCAGATGGTGGCTACTATGATCTTCACATGTAACAGAATAACGGAGATGGAAGGGACCTTGGAGGTCTTCTAGTCCAACCCCCTGACTAGGCAGGAAACCCTACACCACTTCAAACAAATGGCTGTCCAATCTCTTCTTTAAAACTTCCAGTGTTGGAGTATTCACAACTTCTTGAGGCAAGTTGTTCCACTGATCAATTGTTCTCACGGTCAGGAAATTCCTCCTTAATTCTAGGTTGCTTCTCTCCTTGATCAGTTTCCATCCATTGCTTCTTGTCCTGCCTTCTGAAGGTGCTTTGGAGAATAGCTTGACTCCCTCTTCTTTGGGGCAGCCCCTCAGATATTGGAATAGACTGCTATCTTGTCTCCCCTAGTCCTTCTTTTCATAGACTAGCCATACCCAATTCCTGCAACCCTTCTTCCTATGTTTTGGCTTATCTGGAGGATGCTAAGAAAATGCTGAAGGAACGCCTAGGTACTACCGCTTGTAGAGTTACTTAAAGGAAACCTTCAGACCTGAAATAATACTTAGTTCTTCCAGCCTCAGAAGAATGAGCCTTCTCTCCTTCCCCCAGGAGAACAACAATAAAGGTTGGTTGTGCTGCACTATATACCCACACGGCCCTGAATCCCCCAACCCACTCTCTTATTGCTTTAATGTAGTGGTATATTGCTTAATGAAAGTTCTTAATTGTAATTCAATTAATTACATACACAGCGTCCCCAATTACATTTTCCAATAAGATATTGGCTTTGATACAGGACTAAAGGCACTTAACCAATTTTAATATATTAAGACCAATTTCCCTTGAATACTAATTACAATTTAATGACGAAATGGGAACCAGGAACTCTCCAGAAGCTGGGTGGGAACTATAAAAGGAAATTAACCATGAATAGTGCAGGGATTTCTCCTGAGCAGAGAAGAGAGGTGGGGAAATGAGAGGAGGGGGGAAAGTGGAATGAATGAATGAATGAATAAATAAATAAATAAATAATCCCGCTTCAACACAGTTCCTACCGAACATTCCCAAATATGGGAAGCGGTTGTGTTCGTCTTCCCAACCCCAGTAAGGGCCGGGTGGAAAAAAAAAAAAAAGAAGACATCTTGTTTGCTAATAATAATTTAATTTAAAAAAAAAATTCCGCTCCTCACTTAATCCCTTGAAATATAAACACCCAAGATCTCAAAACGGAGCCCTTTGGCGTTAATTTCTCTAGCATCTGTTCAGCTCCTTAAAGAGAATACGGGTATACATGTGCATGCCTGCTCTTCTGGAAATATATATATATATATATATATATATATATATATATATATGTATATATGTATATATATATATATATAGTATGTATGTATACATACATACATACATACATACATACATATATGCACACACACATACACACATATATGTGCCTTAACGCTGCAAATCCTTTATCTGAAGAAATGGCTGATTTTAATTACAGCAGCTAAAATTAGACGGGGATGTCTCACGGCAATTGGGAGATCTCTCTGGGGCATCCGAAGAACGGAGTACCAGCTGTCCAGGACTACACCCCCTCCCCTCTTTTGAATAATGCCTTAAATGCCAGGCTCAAAAAGGTAGCAATCCTAAAGAGAGGAGCAGCCAGGAATAACTACACAGACCTGTGATTTGGATCGCTAAAGCACCGATCCATGGATTGGGGAGTTTAAGAGCAATTACTGAGCCCTGGTCGCATAGGGGTTAAAATGCGGTGTCGCAGGCTAATGCTGCCCACTGCCAGGAGTTCGATCCTGACCGGCTCCAGGTTGACTCATCCTTCTGAGGTCGGTAAAACGAGGTACCCAGATTGTTTGGGGGCAACAGGCTGACTCTGTCAACCGCTTAGAGAGGGCTGTAAAAGCACTGTGAGCTGGGAAGCCAGGGGACGTAATTTACGTGAGCTGAAAGCTGTTTTATAAAAGGCTGTAAGGAAGGAGGGAGGGAGGGAGGGAAGGAGAGAGAAAGAGAGAGAGAGAAAAGAAGAAGATGACAGAGGAGGAGAAGGAAAAGATAGAGCAGGAGGAGAAAGAGGAGGAGGAGAGGATGATAGAGAATGAGGAGGAGGAAGAGGAGGAGGAAGAAGAAGAGGAGGAGGAGGAGGAGGAGGAGAAGAAGAAGAGGAGAAGAAGAAGAGGAGAAGAAGAAGAAGAAGAAGAAGAAGAAGAAGAAGAAGAAGAAGAAG